TTATATCTTTGCACAGCAGTCTTGAACCTCTGTCTATACTGAAATTGACTTTGCTGTTTGATACATGATAAGAAGAAAATGTGTCCTCAAGGTGATGTATTGTCATTATTGAAAATGAATTGGTTGATGTGGAAATCAAAACCATCAGGAATATATGTAATGCTGCTGATATTATAAGAGTTGAAGCTGTTAAATAGAAAAGGAAACTGATAAAGGTTTCTCCAACCTCTGGCCCAACACTTCCAGATTGTTATATCCATCCAGAGACATGGGAGAAGCACTTCCGAGACTTATATAAAGATGCAGATGTGGCCCAGCTGAGATGGAATAGCACACTCGAAGATGCTCCACCATGGACACCAGTGTCAGCTTCCGAAATATACAATTCAATAGCCCAGATAAAATGGGAAAAGCCCCTGGAGAAGATCCGATTCCTCCAGAGGTGATAAAAAATAATTTAGAATTTTGGGCTCTGGTTTTAGCATCATTCACGTATATTGAATAAACTGGGGTTTTGCTATCATAGTCCCCATATTTAAGAAGGGAAAGTGAGATGATCCTGCAAACTAAAGGCCTATTAGTCTCCTTAGCAAAATCTTAAAATTATGTATCAGGCACATATGGGAAGTTTAAAGATTGGCTGGAGCAAGACAAGATACTTGAAGAAGAGCAGGCAGGCTTCAGGGAAGGCCAATCTACCATTGATCAATGCCTGATATTACAATATCTTATTGAAAAATATATCTCTGATAAAGCAACTTCACTCCACATAGCCTTTTATAGATCTCAAGGCAGCTTTTGACTCAATATCAAGGGTCAAATTATGGAAGAAATTAGAGGCTTCTAACATTGAAAGGCAACTGCTTCAACTTATTCAGGCTCTCTATCGAAATATCTCATTCAAGGTAAGATGTAGTACTCATGGCCATCTTACTAATGCCATTGAAATCCAAAAAGGAATCAAACAAGCTACCTTCTGGCTCCACTTTTATTTAATTTTTACATTGATTCCATGGTGGACCAGTTAAAAATATCAACTTTCATTCTCCTAAAATCACAGAGAGGCATATAACAACATTACTGTATGCTGATGATGCAGCTATCATCTCTAGGACCCCAATTAGGCTTAGAAGACCATTGTGAAGGTTGTCTATATATTGTGAGCAGGAAGACCTGATAATTAATTTTCAAAAAACAAAAATCATGTATTATGCCAAAAGGCCAATAATGCGAACATGGATGATAAATCAGCATAGAATTGATCAGATCCACCAATTTAAATATTCAGGTCATTTTCCGATCTAATGGCTCTAGGAAAGCACATGGTGATTAAGTGCCATTAAATGCCCAGAGAAGTTCTGCTGCAATACAATTTATGACAACAAAGGAGAGGGGCATTACACTTCCTCAGCCATTAAACTGTTCCATGCAAAAGCAGTAGCCCAACTACTGTATGGCTCCCAATTGGGCCCCTTCCCAAATATTGCAACTCTAGAACGTGTACAATCAAAATTCCTCAGGGCAATATTAGGAGTCCCCAGGGATGTCGTCAATGTAAAACTAAGACTGGAAACTTAGAGTGCCTTTGCCCATGTAGAATGGAGCAGAAAGAAACAAATGAACAAGTCATGTTGTGGTGTACATATTATATGTCGTAAGGACGTACGTGAAGAACAGGTTTCCCCTTTGACTGGGCAATTTCCTGGCTGTACAGAGCAACAATGTATGCATGTGCTGCTGCCTGATTCCAATCCTATGTTTACACATAGTGTTGCCAAATTATTTCCTGCTGCTATGGGCATTAGAAAAAGGATCCTAAAAGTGGATGGGCCTCCGTAGTCAGAGCATGGTTTGATAGACATTTTGAAATTGCATCGGGGAGATGTATTGACACTGTTGTTGTTTACATCAGAACCAACTACAGTGGTGCCCCACTTGATGACATTAATCCGTTCCAGCGAAATCGCTGTAGAGCGAAATTGTTGTCAAGAGAAATAAAAAACCCATTGAAATGCATTGAAAACCATTCAATGCATTCCAATGGGCGAAATACCTGCTTGTCCAGCGAAGATCCTCCATATGGCAGCCATTTTATGATCCCTGTATAGCGAAGAATCCATCCCTAACACAGCGGGGGGCCATTTTGAACAGTGGGCGGCCATTTTGAAACCCGACGATCAGCTGTTTTCTGATCGTCGTAAAGCGAAAAATTGGTTCCCGAAGCAGGGAACCGATCATCATAAAGCTGTTTTTTTCCCATTGAAACATTGTTTTGTGATCGCAAAAGCGATCGCAAAAACCTAATCGTCAAGCAGATTCGTCATTTAACGAAGTAATCATTAAGTGAGGCACCACTGTATTGCTTTGCATTCAATCCCAATATTTTTGTATATTCTGTATATTTATATATTTTGGATGTTTTATTTGTGGTTGGTCTTTTGACCATAATAAAGATTTATTTATCTATTTGGCCTGAGGTAATGAAGTGGTTGGAAAGAACAACAAAAGAAAAAATAATCTCAAATGAAACTTTGCTACTTTTTTCATTATTTACAGGAGGGAACGAAAACACTGTGAATAAAGAACTAAATGTGATTATATTAGAAGGAGCCCGTAATGAAATTGTCCAACACTGGAAGGATGCTCAGGATTTGTCCTTGCAAAGATTTCAAAATAGAATATGGAGACTGGCTCTGATGGAAAAATTGACCGATCACATTAAACTCTATAGAGGTGAAATAAAACAAGATAAATTTATGGAACTATGGAATCCCTTGTTAGCCTCTGGTGCAGGAGACCAATTGGAAAATGGGCTGAAGTGCTGGTTAGTTTGAATAACTCTAGGGTTAGAAGTAGAACATATATAAATGTTTAAGCATTATTAGTATACTATAGGTAAGAAAATTATTGGAAGTGTAACTGTATTTATAGGTAATTATTACTTTTTTCTTTTTTGTTATGTGACTAGAGGATTGTAACTTTTTAATAATAATTTAAAAATTGCTACAAAAATACTACATATTTATAAGTAGTTGATATCTGAAGGTGTCTCTTTCCAGTTCCAGGTGCTGAGATAGTCTATTAATTCAACAATGAAGGCTGAAGACTTTATGGGAATAAAAGGGAACTGACTGGGTAGGAAAGAATAAAAAAAGACAGATGCAAAACAGGAAGAGGAGGAATCAAGTGGATCATTAGGACCAAACTCAGAAGGAAGTTCAAAATTTCAGTTAGAAAACCAAATGGGAAATGCCAAAGGAAAGCCCACCATGGAAAAAAGAGGACCTAAGAGGTAAGAAAACCTTAATAACAAAGATGGATAAAATGAGCTTCCAAGAAACTCATACGAAAAGAATACAGTAACATCTGACATAAAAGAATTTACAAACAAATATAGAAAATAAAAATTGGACACTGTCTTCAGAACTTATAATATGAAAATCAAGAACCACCACTTTATGAAATGTTTTAAATAAGTTTTGGAAATGTAAAATACAGGAGGGTACTTTCAACCATATTGGGTGGATAGGTAGAGAAGCAGAAAATTATTGGAGATTATTACAGATTAGCATATGAAATGTTGGGAAAAAATGGTATTTTGTGAGATATCATTTAAACTATGTTAAATGAGTATTATGTCTGAGACTGTAGATGAAATTAAACAGTTTATAATATACAGAATTATTATAGCTATAATATGGGAAACATTGGGAGAAAACAGAAACATGGTTATCTTTAAAAAGATGCAAAAATCTGGAATGATTTTATAGTTGGACGTGAAATATGGACAGGAAAGCATAGATAAAAGAAGAACACAAAAGTCCAATCAGGGAATGAAAAGATTAGTAACTATAGTAATTCTGGTAAAACCTGTTAAGTTGTTATTTTTGTTATTTTTTTATTCTAGTAGAATTGTATGAGTGGACGTAAAAGTACCCTTATGCTCTTTGGAATTTTACCCTTCCCCTACCCATGTCCACTCCCCCAGAGCCCCATCCCCCATCGCCTAATCCTATGCCTATTGAAAATGAATAAAATTTAAAAATTACAAGAATAAATACATTAAGTAAATAAACTCAACTTTCAAAGTTGGAATGTCATTCTAAGAATCACAGTTTTTCTTAGCGGAATAAATCTTCATGACATTTTACAGTATTGTGTCAACTAATTGTTCCAGATGCTTTCTCATCATGGAAACAAACCAGAAAAAATGTTGTAATACATGTATCTTACTTACAGTGCATGGCATTCAATAGCTGAACTCCTGTTAAAGTACAGTGGTGCCTCGCATAGCGATGATAATTCGTTCCACAGAAATCGGTGCAGAATGAAAACGTCGCTATGCAATATTAAAAAGCCCATACGAATGCATTGAAACCCCTTCAATGCATTCCTATGGGCTTCAGACTCAACTTTAAGCGAAGATCCTCCATAAGGCGGCCATTTTCGCTGCCTGGTAAGCGAGGAATCTGTCCCAGAAAACAGCAGGCGGCCATTTTTTTACCCGGTGGCCATTTTGAAACCGCCGATCAGCTGGGGGGAAATCATTGCTTTGCGATGATCGGTAAGCGAAACAGGGAACCGATCATCACAAAGCGAAAAAACCCCATTCAGACCATCGCAAAGCGATCGCAAAATCTTAGTCGCTATGCGATTTCATCATTAAACGGGGCACCCGTTAAGCAAGGCACCACTGTAATGTTAAAGTAATAAGTCGCATTGGAATAGCCCCACTGAATCATTAGGGATTTAGTCAACTTCTCCATAAGTTCTACTTATTCAAATAGGCCTACTCTAGGTACAACTCCTGTAATAAATTAAGTTGCAATTAGAATAGGCCCATTTGAATCAATGGAACTTGATTCAATAGGCCATTTTTGGGCAAATTACTATGTCGACCAATAGGATTTCAGTCAATAAAATAAATAATTCTTATGACAATGTATAAACAGCTTTAAATTACAGTGCATCTATTTCAATTACAATTTTATATACTTAACCAATAATTAGCTGATGAATAGTAGATCCTTCAGATGCTGCTGAAAATGTCTTATCTGTACCAGACACTTGAAGAAATCCATAGTCTTTATTTTCTTTGTAAGTATAAAAGACCTTGTCATCATCCCACAGTACCATGGATGTTACAGCTGAAGTGATAACTTCCATATGAATATCACCACTTATAGATGAAGTTAGTGAAAAGTCTCTTAAGTTCCATTCAGTTGTGCCTTCATTGTAAGCAGCCAAGAGTAATATCTTAGTGGTTATGCATCCGATACACTCTATCAGAACTGCAATTATGGCAGTAAGTGAATCATAGCAAGCAGAAATTAGTAAAAGGTCAGTGGCTCTTTGGAGTTGCAACTGTTCTTTTAGAAGTGATGTATCAGTCAATGGACTGTACTGATCATTAGGAAACCCTATGATAAGTTCGTCATCAGTCCATATAATTACTTCACTTAAAAGTCTGTCCTGAAAGAAAACAAAATACAGGGGTGGGAAAACATTTCCAAAATTGTAAGAAATGTTAATATCTCTCCAATCTTCTTCTAACATATTTACATATTAAAAAGCAATAAAAATTGTGCTCATGAACAGTTGCATCTTAAAACTCCTATAGGAAATATCACGAATTTACCTATATTTCCTATTATTCTATTAGACCACGGTGTATTAATTTACCTAAGAATGGTACAGTCTACAAAACTTGGATTTTTTGTAAAGCAATTTGCAAGAGTAAAGGGCTTAGCTTTGCCCAGCCCCCCTCAAGCATGCTGAAAAATTTAATTCTTATCTTGATCAAAAATAATCTCCACCTAGAAATACATTGAGAATCAGTACAGTTACAGTAGCTTATAGTCTAGAATTCAGGAGACCTGCATTCAACTCTTGCTGAAACACAGAAAGTCACTGGGGGGTGGTGCTAGTAAAACCTTTTCTTAACTATCTCACATATCTTGAGGGAGGGGAGAGTGACTTGATGGCACATGACAATACAGAAATACTTATAATTACCTATGCAGTAAACTAATACAAGACCAGCAGGTTTCATTTGGCACAAGCCTTTGTGAACTGCAGGGCATTTTACCAGGTGTGTCAAGTGTAGCTACACTTGGCAGATTGAAAATAGGAAGCTGCCTTATACTGCAATGAATCATTAGACCCACCGGCCCAGTTTTGACAACGGTGACTGACAGCATGTCTTCAGGATTTCAGGCATGAGTGCAGTGCATTTGCTTGCAGTGCATTTGCTTTACAACTAAGCAACAGCTAGGGATCTTTATACAGTGGTGCCTCGGATGGTCGTAACTTGAAATGGTCGTACAGTGGTGCCTCGCTTAACGGGTGCCCCGTTTAACGACGAATCCGCATACCGATGCGGATTTTGCGATCGCAAAAGCGATCACATTGCGATGTTCCCTATGGGGAAAAATTGCTTTGCGATTTTTCCCCATAGGCCCCATTTTCCCCCAGCTGACCAGCAGGGGCATCGGAAGGACTGTGGGGGAGGGCTCCCCCGCGGTCCTTCTCAAGCTCCTGCCAGTCAGCTGGGGGAAAATGCCTGCGGGAGCTTGAGAATTACCGTGGGGGGGCCCTCTTCCTCCGAGGAGGCGGGCGCTCATTCACAGGCCGGCGGCGAGTGGCGCTTCGGCCGGCTCGCTCCTCCCGGGGCGGCAGCTGCAGCGGGGGAAGGGCGCCTGGCTCCACCTCCCCTGCTGGGGGAAAATGCCGGCGGGAGCTTGAGAAGGACCGCAGGGGAGCCATCTTCCTCCGACGAGGCGGCGGTGTGCGCTCATTCCCAGGCCAGCTGCAAGCGGCGCTTTGGCCGACTCGCTCCTCCTGGGGCGGCGGCGGCAACAGGGGAAGGGAAAGGGCCGTGGCGCGGCCGGGCGCCTGGCTCCGCCTCCCCCTCTTCTTCCAAAAGCCGGCAGCCGTCGGCTTGCTCTTCCTGGGCCGACGGAAGGGGAAGGGAAAGGGCCCTGGCGCGGCCGGGCGCCTGGCTCCCTGTCTCCCGCTTCACCTCCTCCTCTTCCTCGGGAGGCTCCTTCTGAAGGGCCCGCCGGCCAGCTGGGGGGAAATGCCAGCTGATCGGCGGTTCCAAAATGGCCCCCACTGTTTTCTGGATGGATTCCTCGCTTACCGAGGCAGCGAAAATGGCTGCCCCTATGGAGGATCCTCGCTCAACGGTAAGTTTTTGCCCCATAGGGACGCATTAAACAGGGTTTAATGCATTTCTATGGGTTTTTTCTTTCCGTTTAGCGATCTTTCCGCATAGCGACGTTAATCCTGGAATGGATTAACGTCGTTATGCGGGGCACCACTGTAATTTGAAGCACCGTTATGCGAAGATTCCCCATACGGCCGCCATTTTCGCCGCCTCGGTAAGCGAGGAATCGGCGCGAAAACGCTGCGGGTGGCCATTTTCTTGACGCGGTGGCCATTTTGGAACCACTGATCAGCTGTTTCCCAAACATTGCAATGCGAAGATTGGTAAGTGAAACGCTTACCCATCATCGTAATGCAATGTTTTACCTATTAAAACATCGCAATGCGATCGCAAAAACGATCGCAAAATCCGCATCACTATGCGGATTCGTCGTTAAACGGTGCGCTCGTTAAGTGAGGCACCTCTGTAATCACCAAAAAAACCCACAATGCAAGACCAATCGGAAACAAAATTAATCCGTTCCAGCCGAAGGGTAAAAAGAAAAGGAAGCAAACCATGCAAGATTGATTGGAAATGCAAAAAAATCAAAGCAAAAAGCAAGCAAACCATGCAAGACCCATTGAAAATGCAAAACAGCAAAACAGAAAGCAAACAAACCGTGCAAGACCCTTCAGAAATGGGAGGAAAAAACCCAAAAAGCAAACAAACCCCGCAAGACCCATTGGAAATGGGAAAAAACAAAAACAAAAAGCAAACAAACCCACCAAGACCTGTCGGAAATGGGGGGAAATCCCCAAAAGCAAACAACCCCCAAGACCCGTCGGAAATTGGGGAAAAACCAAAAAGCAAACAAACCCCCAAGACCCATCACAGCATAGAAACATAATCCCACCACCCAGCCCAAAACCACACTGCAAAACCCACCCAGAACAGTTTTTAAAAAGCAGAAAGCAGCATCTTACCTCCAAAGGTAAGTCCAAAGCCTCCTCTGATTGCACTCACTCTAACCGTTGAATTCCCCGCCTTTTTTGGTTGTAACTCGAAGCTCCAGCCACAAGTCGAAGCAATATTTTGTGGCCGGAGCTGGTCGTAACTCAAAATGGTCATGTTGGGACATTTGTAAGTCGAGGCACCACTATATATATATAGTGGTATATATATATACCAAAGTGGGTGAGTAGATGAATGGAAATTCAGAAAGAATCAGTACAGTGGTGATCAGTGGTTGCTTAACAGTTGTTGGAAGGTTATAATTATTTACCATACTGTTTCCCAGAAAATAATACATAACCTGAAAATAAGCCTTAGTAGGATTTTTCAGAATGCTTGTAATATAAGCCCTACCCCCAAAATAAGCCCCAGTTAAGTGAAACCCCTCCTTCCACGATTGTGCAGCAACCAGAAGAAGATGAAATGACTGTATTTGAATAAATGTAGATTGCTGTACATGAAAAAATAAAGTATCCCCTGAAAATAAGCCCTAATCTGTTTTTGGAGCAAAAATTAATATAAGACCCTGTCTTATTTTCAGGGAAACATGGTAGAGATCACTAGATACAGGATGATAGGCCTTTGTCCAATTTAAGTATAGGGAGTAGAATTCAATCTCACAATGCTAAGCTACCAAGTTGCCAGGCTGTGGGGGCCACTTTTCTTACCCAACTGGAACCAGTTAGTTCTTGTAATGAGTTAAAAAATGGATTATTTACTGCTGAAAAAGCCCCAGGAGGCTTCTGAAAGCATACGAGGGGGTGCTCTTGGGGGGTGGGGGTGACAGGCCTGCCCCTGCCACACCCCCACCCCGGCAAAGCGCCGCTTTCAGAGGCTTCCCCAGTGCATTTCTACTGCCTATTTACCTCCTGGGCAAGCCTGGGCAAGCTTCTAAGAGCGGCCCGGATCAGCTGTAAGGCGGGGAGGGGGAGGGGCTGGAGCAAAAAAGAGGGCAAAATGGCCGCCCGCTGTGTTTTTGCCCGGATTCCTCGCTTACCGGGCAGCGAAAATGGTGGCCGTATGGAGGATTTTCGCATAAAGGTGAGTTTTTTTCCAATAGGAACGCATTAAACTGAGTATAATGCGTTCCTATGGGGTTTCCCCCCGCATAGCGATGTTTACGGATAGCGATGTTACTCCTGGAACGGATTAATGTCGCTATGTGGGGCACCACTGTAGGTCCAGAGTCCACTGTACTGTAGTTCCTATGGGAACTAATGCTTTGACTTAAGAACGGCGCCTCTAGATAAGAACGAAAAACAGCCGGAACAGATTGGTTTCAATACATTCCTATGGGAAATTTTGCTTCTACAGTGGTGCCTCGCTTAGCAATGTTAATCCGTGCAGCAAAAATCGCTGCAAAGCGATAACATAGCTAAGTGATATTAAAAAGCCCATAGAAAAGCATTAAAACGCCATTAATGCGTTCATATGGGTTTCAAAACTAACCTTAAGCGAAAATCCTCTATTGTGGCGGCCATTTTCGGTGCCTCTAAAGCGAGGCAACACAGTGCGCAGCCATTTTGTTTACCTGGCGGCCATTTTGGAACCGCCGATCAGCTGGCCGAAAATGGGAGCTTTGCGATTATTGCTTCCCTGCGATCATCGCAAACAAAATTTTCCCCATAGGGAACATCGCAAAGCGATCACTTTTGCGATCGCAAAAACATCGTCACAAAGCGATTTCGTCGTAAAACAGAGCGATCGTTATGCGAGGCACCACTGTGCTTACAAACGTTTCAACTAACAAACATTTTCTGGAATGGATTAAGTTCATAAGTAGAGGTTCCATTTTAATTTTTTAAATAAGTCCTGACTTTAATAAAAATACTAGTCATATTGTCTTTTGGTAATGAGTAGCTCTCACAAAAAACCCTTTATTTTTTAACGAAAGCGCTGAAATACATTACAGTTGTCTAGAGTCCTGTTTTTGACATTTTTAGCCCAATTAGGGCCAGAGATTAGAAAAGATCTTTCCTTTACTTAAATAATATTGGGGAGTATTAATGAAAAGATGCAGGAGAGGGCAAAAAGTGTGAATTATGTATAGGTTCTAAAAGAAATTCACTTTACAGCTAAAACTATTTATAGATGTGTGACCTGATCAAACTGAGCAACTCTCATCACCACAATCTCTATTATTTCTTGATTGAACTTCAAATTATTCATCCTCGGCCACTACTTCACTGGCTTTAGGTATTCTGCAAAAAAAGAAATCATGCTTCCACCTGCACCTGATACATAACTGAATCTTTTAAAATGCCCATTAACGCTTTACTCATGGCAATATCACATGATAATAAATGTAATAGGTTAGTGAAATGCTTACATGTCCATATCTTATGAATTATGAAAGCTTCTTTCACAGCAAGATGTAAAAATGAGTCTTTAGAAATACTCACAATCAATGGGTATTCATTTGAACACCAGGTTTTTGTCTGTACTCCTTTTACTCCTGTATTTGGAACATTATACACATCTCCAATGCTGTAAATGTCCTCTTCAGTTGCCTTATAAAGCTTATCCTCTATTAAAATAAAAACATCTGGAAACATTACAGCCACATCTTTTACACTGTGAATCAGAGCACTATCTATAATATGTGCTGGGAATCTGATTTCTTCCATAGTTAAAAATCCATCATTTGTGTAGAATGTACCAAAATCTGTCACTAAAACGGCTGTGGCTGGATAACATGCATCCCATGTCACTATAGCAGGACTTCCAGCTGGAGAAGAGATTGAAGTATCAGTTTCAAAACCTAAATGAAAAACAGGCTGGGCAATAACAAAAGGAGTTGCCAGAACAAAACAATCTTGAAATGTAAAAGTTTTTCCATGGATTTCTGCAATGTTGTCATTTGTTAGGGTAGGCACCTCAATTGTCCAGATCCTGAAAATAGAAGAAAAAGTTAACTGCATTTTATGTTTTGTGTAAAAGGAGTGTTTTGTGGTCACCATTTCAAAACAAAAGGAAAATAACATTTATTTTTAATACATCTTTTACTTACTAGCATCAACAGCAACAACAGTTCTTTTGATTCATAAATATTTCACTGTAAACTGTACAGTGGACCCTCTACTTACGGAATTAATCCATATTGGAACGGTGGCTGCAGGTCGAAAAGTCTGTAGGTCGAATCTCCATTGACCTACAATGCACTGAAAACCGATTAATCCGTAACCAGCCATTTTTGTTCCGTTTTTGTTCCATTTTGGTTTTTTTCTGGTCTGTAGGTTGATTCTCTCGCTGCAAGTCGAACCTAAATTTTGCAGCCCGAGAAGTCTGTAACTCGAAAAGTCTATAAGTCGAGCTGTCTGTAAGTCGAGGGTCCACTGTATAATGAATGAAATCTGGTTTTAGCATATCTACTGTAGGTTAATATTTCAAAATGGTTGTTGTGGGTTTTTTGGGCACTTTGGCTGTGTTCTGAAGGTTGTTCTTCCTAATGTTTCGCCAGTCTCTGTGGCTGGCATGTTCAGAGGACAGCACTCTCCCCCCAAGACTATACGGACTCCCCAAAATCCACAAGGACTCAATCCCACTCAGGCCCATTGTAAGTGCCATCAGCTCCCCAACATATGAATTAGCCAAACACCTAGCGCCTCTCTGACAGAGTGCTATCCTCTGAAGATGCCGGCCACAGAGACTGGCGAAACGTTAGGAAGAACGACCTTCAGAACATGGCCAAAGAGCCCGAAAAACCCACAACAACCATTAGATCCTCGGCCGTGAAAGCCTTCGCAAATACAATATTTCAAAAGTTGATGAAGTAATGACATAGTGGAAGAACTCAGAAAAATAAATAAGAAATAGCCAGTTTCTCTTAATTCAGCTATGTAACTCAGTCCTCATAACTCTGGTTTCTAATATAGGCAGGGCCATGCAAAATTGCAAAAGGAAACAGCTAATGCAAAAGTATGGTGAAAATTCTCACAAATGCAAAGGTTAGAATAGGAGAACTAAAGATAATGCTCATATATAGTCACCCAAAAAGTCTTTAAAAGATAGTTACTATGGAATACAGTAACAGAACAAATCTGCAGCAATAGTGGAAACAAAACATTTATATGAAGTGGGAAGGGACAGCAGAAAAAATTGTGATCAGTTTAAACAAAGACAAGCTATGAGAGACTATGCCTACTAGAAATGATCAATTTGACATAAACTGCATTGCAGAGATAAGGAAAATGAACAGCTGGTGAAACAAAACCAAGATTATTTAGAAAATGTAAAAATATGCAGATACATGCCAGTATTTATTCAGTATTACGTAAAAGAGTCACTAGGTGGGAAAGGACATTTGACCAAACAAGAGAAACTGGATAGCAGCCACACTCCAAAATGGAGAATACAAGAAAAGTGTGTCACAATTGTTTGAACTGTACTATATGTTAAATGCAGACCCCCAACTTAAGATATGAAAGATTAAAAGTGAGGGCCAATTTATTAGAACCCTAATAAATTACTGGGTCTGAACAGCATGTACACAAGAGTCCTTAACATATTTATTTTTGTTAGAAGACCATAAATTCTATATTTAATTTAGAATGAACGTATACCAAAATTGGCTTCCAAACCAAACAATTAGAAAGCATACAAATGAATACAGTTATCAGCAATGGACCCTGTGATGGTTGCCCCACGTCACTCCTGTCACTCACAGTCTGGTTCTCATTTGCATGAGCCTATGAGGAGTGGAGGGGCAGAGACAACAGATATATACGAAGATTTAAAAACCAACTGAAAACTTGTATGTTTAGGCAGGCCTTCCCTCCAGTTAACACTTGATTTTTTTTCTTCACCTTTTTTCCTTATTTTTCCATCTTGAACAACTTGTTTATTGAAGTTCAAAATCTTGTTATATTTTAAATTGTTATCATTATATATGTTGGAAGCCACCCAGAGTGATCGATTGACTAGACGGACGGGGTATAAATAAATAGATAGATAGATAGATAGATAGATAGATAGATAGATAGATAGATAGATAGATAGATAGATAGACAGACAGACAGACAGACAGACAGACAGATAAAGATTAGAGAGATATAAGCGGAGAGAAGCAGAGAGAGATAGAGATCGTCACAGAGATAATGAGAAGAAATAATAATAGAGATAAGATAGTCAAGATAAACAGATAGAGCAGGCGGTGAAGGTGGCAATATATATGATATTTGAATGATTATATTGTATGCATTGAATAACGAACATCTGTGATTATAATTAAAGTTAATACCTTTCACTAAATCAGTTCTGTTGGCAGCATATCTGACAAGTGTCTGAATAAAGTCTTTATATATTGTGGATAAAGGAAATCCACTGGTGGCACTGAGAAAAGGGGGGAATGTCCCAATTGTTATCTGCTGGTGGGAAGACATAGCGTGAGCCCTTCGTTTGGGGAAACAAGCAGGGGTTACGTGGTAAATGTCACAGACTCCTAGAACCATAGTTCAGAAAATGCCTGGCATCTAAACCTTTTATTGTAGGTACTATTTCCACACTCACAGTTCATCTAAGCAATTAATCTAATTTATTTAAGAGCTCGTATTATGTAGGGCTTAGAATATTTGATAAGAATTCCTGAGATCTGGGTTCAACTTCTCACTAAGCCACAAAATTCACTGTGTGACTTTGGGCCAATCACACCACAGCCTGAGTAACTTCACAAAGCAGTTGAGAGGAAAACAATCATATTCCCAGCCTTGAGATCAGTGGAAGAAAGATGTGTAATACATACATACATACATACATACATACATACATACATACATACATACGTCCTACAGGATTGTATCAGATTATTTATTTATTTATTTTATTGAATTTGTACCCCGTCCATCTAGACCCAAGATCTACTCTGGGCGGCATTACAAGTTTAAAAACTGTTAAAACCAATAAACATAATAAATATAAAGATAATAAATTCAAAAGCACAGAATTATATTTAAAAAGTAAGTAAAAACCAGTACCCATCATTAAATTCTTTTTCATGATATTTTCTTCCTCCAGAAACTGTCTTAACAAGAGGAGTCTCTCCCAAATTCCAGAACTGTTTGCTAAGGGTCTTAGAATACTGTTAATACAAAATCACAAATCAGTTTTATATTGGTTTTTTTTAAGTTTTCTATTAAATCTAAATGTATATTTCAATACAAAGAATACTTCTTATTAGATATAAACACATCACACGGTTTTGGGGACAGAGAGACAAGGCAGAGTGATCAAGCTGAGTACAGTACTCTGAAAATACTTGGGTACTTGTAGGGTACAGCTCTCTAGATATTTTATATGGCACAATGCTTCTTTCTTAGTAGGAATGCTCTTACTACTTGCTGCCATATATTGTATGGTCTACTTGTACTTTTGGTCTGTTTACAAATGCTTATTTATTTATTCACATGATGACATACTCAAAGCAACAATAAAATAGAATATTACATCCACACAGTATAAGTGATCACACAATCTGAACCAATGCACATGGATCTGCTGGTAAAAAAAAGTAGACAAACTACGGATGAAGGGGAACTCTGAGCTGACATGCATATCCTTGTTTCCTAACTACTGGTCTACAAAACCCTGCACATTTTACAATGAAGTTTAAAAAGTCCCATGCACAGAAAATGAGATTTTTACCTCTAAGCTTAATTGTCACATAAAGAACAGTTCTAAGGGATATCATGGGTTAGAATTTTAACAAAACCTCCAGAGGTTTTTTCTCTATCCTAATAGCTTCACAGCACAGTATATCTGCTATCCACCATATTCTTTCCTTTAAAAGAAGGACAAAAGTTACATACCACTGATGGTGAAGTTGCAGTGTAGTTCCATTCAGACTCATCAGCATTTTCTGGATCAAATATCCATAACTTTATAGACTAACAAATAAAAAAGAAAAATATTAATATTACTGTAATTAACATTTGTAAAAGAAGAGGATGAGAACAAGTGGTGCACTGGGTAAAGTGTTGGAGAAGGACTCAAGAAACATGGTTTCAGATCCCTGGGCTATGAGGGATGGCAGTGCAAAACCAGTTCTTGACCATCTCTTAAACCTTGAAAATCTTGTTAGGGTTACTATAATTTGGAAGGGAGTTGATGGCATATAACAACAACAAAATGATGTATTCAGTTGATATGAACAACACCATCATAACACTTTGTACTCACAATATGCTATCATTGTATCATATTTTACCTAATGTTATTTTTTCCATCATCATGTGTGTCAAGACAATTCTGATTTAAGATAACCCTTTTTACTAGTATAGCTGCATTGTGGCAATATGTTATTAAGAAGAGGGAAATAATAGCTGATTTCCTTATACTGCAGTACCATATCAGGAACTTTCACATGTAATGCACTGTTTCATGTACTTTTGTTTAATTAATTTTCACTGTAGTGAAAGCCCAGCACATAGCACTCACCTATTACTATACATAACAAGCCTGCTCACATGTAGTAAAGCAATCCCCCCTTACTGTCCCACCCAAAGAATTTCTCATACATTTCTCAGGGAAAGAAATCTGCACTAATGACAGAAAAAGCATTTGGTACTTTTATATTTACTGTACTTTAACAACAATCCAGACATTTGCTACCATTATGACAGTGGAACACTCATTAAACCACTCAGCTTGTAATAGAAAAATGACAGATATGCCAATGAACTGGAAACATCACCACTTCTATGAAAGTAAGTGTCCTGCTTAGGAATTCCTAGCCAAGGGAGCCTTAAATATTCCTATGCCTGATGAACTTTCAGTCATAGAAAAAGACATTTACTGTAGATAGATCTTTGGCCCATTATCTTTTAAATATGGTGCAATCAGCTTTAACCAGTTGCTAATTAATGCCTATTAAGAATTATATAAAATATTTCTAAACTGTCCTTCATTCAATTGATTGCAAACACACAACAGATTTCAGAATTATTGAAACAAAATAATGAGAATGATACTTTTGTAATAATTACAGAATAAAAAAATGACTGAAGGTAATAAAAACTACCAGCATGTCAAGTTAATAGTGTCAGATCAGAGAACTGATACTCAGAAGCCTGTGTTCACAGTTATCATTATCCCACCCACCACAAAAAGGGTTAAATCAAAGAATGAAACCAATCTTGAACAATCATATCAAAATTCATCTGAATATCCAAGGATAAGTCTTTTCATTGTCCAGGCAACATCAGCTTGTCTATATCTGCAAGCTTTATTTATCTACATTGCTTCTATGTTCCATATCTACAAAATACTTTAGAAAATAAAAGTCAAAGTGTATTGAAAACACTCTTGTGAGAAACAGGTTGTGAGAAAAAAAATCCTTGCAGCTTATAAAAAGTTACAGGTCTGATTGTCGTCCAAAAGTTTTACAACTATGAGAAGTTGCGGGCATGCAGATGCAAAACTTAATTTGTAGGTATCATGTAAAATAAAGGCCCTTATAGCCTAAAAGAGGCAAATATAAAAACAAAAGACAGAGAATGCATCTCTTAAAATATTAAAATTAATTTTTCCTGTTTTCCCCCTTTTACTATATGTTCTCCCTCTCTCTAGTGTTCACCATTATCCACAGTTTTCAGTATCCGTGGTGGGGCATGGAACCAATCCTCACTGAATACAGATGTCCTAAGGTGGGCCTACATACTGAAAGCTCATTGTCAAGCTTCCAAACAAGTTTAGATGATTTGACATCTGAATATAGCTACTAACTTTTTAAAAAAATGCAGTTTGACATTTAACATACAGAGGGGAAAAGAGTTTTGGGATTACAGCCTTGTTTTGAAATAAAAAATATTTTTAATAAAATAATTATGAAATAATTTAATGATTTTTACCTGCTTTGGATTTGCATGTGTCAACCTAAAAAAAGTTAAATACTCAATTTAGTAAAAGTAAATAAGGCTATAAAACAGAACTTTCTAAAATATGCTACATAGATAGCACAATCCTATTTTTGAAGTTTAGTGTTACGTTTGTGTTTTGTATTTTTATTTTGAAAGCACATGCTTAAAATTATGGTATTTCAGAGGAATATATGCAGAGATAGTGCAAAGTGTGTGTGGATACATGCCTATGCCTTAGTTACAATATGGGAGTGTGGTGTCCGCCCAGGTCATGAATATTAATGTGATATCTGCATAGACCAATGGGAGTTCTTCAGGGGTGCAGTCATGAGATATAAGAGACTCAGCAGGAGGAGGGAGAGTTTTTAGTAGAGGAAATTGAGAGTTGGAGAGTTGAGGAAGTTTAGGAGTTTGATGTGGTTTTGAGATTGGGCGGGAGAGTGGTGGTTGAGAGTGGATGAAAGAGGATGTTTGTTTAAGAGTTAATAACATTGCTTGTTCTGTTAACATCTGTAACAATAAACAATTTCTATTTGGTTCTTTTAAAATGACACATTGCCTGGACCTCTGTGATTAATAATAACCAATGTTGATGTAATCAACTGGTGGCAGCTGAGAGGCACGTAGTGTGAGCTCTTAGTTTGGTGAAACAGCAGGGGCCACGTGGGAACGTGACAGCAAAATTGATGGTTTTGTTAAGAGTCCCAACTATCTGAGTCTTCAGTACCTCACTTTTACCAATTTGCTTTATTTTCTGCAGAGATGCTGACATTAATTCTGATTTGGATACCACTGTTACAACACAGGCAGATGGATGGAGCAAGGATCTTAGATTATTTCGGCTACCTTTTTATAGCCTTGTGACTGGCAAAAGACCCCTTTGAAGGCAGTTACCTTTGTCGGCTTTTAAAAACAACCAGAGGTGGGTTAGCTGTTTAACAGGAAGAGTTTACTTTCAGATTTGCTATGTAGCAATAAAGAACAGTTGTATTTGAAAGACTTGGTTGATCCATATGCATTTTACTACTAATACCACCCAACTAATCCACTTATAAGCATTTCCAGAAGTCAGCATGGCTACTTGCAGTGATAAGCAGCTCCCAATTATTGTCTCAAAATAAAAACAGCAGCAACCAGCAAATAAGTTTGAGATTAATCATACACATCAAGGTATAAAAAGGGGAGGAACAATAAATAAGACTTATTTTTACCCGCTTGTATCTTGGTAAATATACCACATGAAACAATTCACATCTGCTTTTACAGATAAGAAGCGCTCCATTTCTGCAGCTGACTAGAAAGGACAAAACATGCTAATTATTTCATTTTATCTTCATAACATCACAGTACAGACTGAACACATTCAAATACATAACAGTACATTTAAAAATTTTATTTACAATACGCATTCTGTTGCAGCGAGTGCATGTAAGTGAATTTGCATATCCCTTGCTGTGTAGTTGCATCCTCAGATTAATATGAATATAAAGATTGTGCCACAAAACACAAACTGTTTTGGAACAGCCCTTAGGAGCCATAAAAATGGAGAGGATTCAGAATGATGAACTATCTTTTTCAAAGAAAGAACAACAAAGAAGTAGAGAGATAAGTAGAGGAATTATTTACAAATATTTTTACTTTACATAAACAATATAAGTTCCAGAATGCTCCCAAATTGCCCCAACAGCAGTTGATAGGGCTGATAAGCATGTATGTGAGGGAGGAGAGGCTTTGGGTGGTAGTCACGCCAATTAAATGTTTTCCAGTTCTCCCCCTCTGATTTTGCAAATTAAATTTGCAGTCACATGACACACTGCCATTAGCAAATCATTTACCCAGCATGCATACTAGCTGTGGATCATTTCTTGCTCAGTAAGAGGCTTCTACATTTTTTGTTGTGGACCTTAAACAAAGTTGTATTGCTGCATTGTGAACAATTTTATTGCAACTTTTTTTGAACTACTGTCACCTGCATGTCCTTTTTAAATGCTTGTTTTCTTTTTCATGATGTTTGTGTTGAGGAGAAGCTGTAGGCATTTATTGAATTATTGACTCAATAACTCAAGAGCAAACTGGGACACACATCCTGGAATAAATACTGCATGACCTCAAAGCACAACAGAAACACAATTAAAAGTTGCATAACCACAAAGGGACATTTTGCTGGTGTGACCATGGCCCTTGAAGATCTGGAATGTTTCTGTATATTGTCACATATATGTGTGACTCACAAAGACCATGAGAAAGAAACATAGGAAGTGGCAAGAACACCCATTCTCTAACAACAGTTGGAAAAGCAGAGCCTTCATCTCATTTCCATTGTATGTCCCCCCCCCACCAAACATTAAATGCTTTCAGTGTAAAAGCACAGCTGTTAAAAAAGACAGAAGAGTAAAATCCCTGTCCAAATCCCAATTTGATACCTGTATATTTTTTTCGACAAGAACTGGAAGAGCTGATTAGTTATATCACATTTCTGCTAGCCAATGTAGGTAGTGCTTTGTCTTCCTCAAGAATGGCTGTTTTCATCTTTTCAATATAAAAGTAACATCTATTATAATGCTCCCTTCTCCATAGCTCTTAAGTAAACTTCTTGACATTCTGATTAGTGAATTCTGATGTTCTGTCTGTGTTACTCAAAATGATGGGAAGGTCTACCTGCTGTGTTGTGCTGTGCCTCTGAATCTGCCAAACTGTAGCCCTTTCAATGAACACAGTGGTATAGGTCTGAGAATATATTTATACTGATACTACTTTAATTCACTGGATTGCCCTAAATCAGAATCAACCTGAAGACACAAAACAAAAAATTTTGATAATGGAATTTTTGTTGATACACTTACCGGAGGTTTAACTATTGGTGCAATGCGATGAGTTCCAGGAACTGGACAATTAAGAGTTGTCTGTGGCAAACTGTAGCAAGTTTTAAAAGTCTACATTAAGTAGATAGCAATAATTAACTGTATAAACATATTTCTTATAACTCATGTTATCTCATTCAGGATCACTCTAAAATATCCTGCAGCTAACTTCACCAATATTAACCTCTAAAATATTATTCTTTCCTTGATTTTTAAATATTTAAGGTTATGTTAATGCCTAAAAATACACCTTTTTATATATTAGAAATTCCCCTAGTCATGTATATTCTCAGCTCATTTTCTGTAAAATGTAATTGAGCTGT